ATAAAATCTAAAATTTTGTTAATGGCCGCAGAAGGGTTATTTGTGACATTTATAAAATATTTCGATAGTTTTTGGATGCAGAAGGTAGGTATATCATAAAATCTATTGTTTATATAAAGAATGAAAACAAAATCTCATTTACAGATTGGAAGCCGGAACTTTAGCGTCTGCAACAATAAAATTCGAACAACCTCTGCGGTAGAGGCGTATAATGGAGTGCTGGGCAAAACTTTAGAAAAAAACGGTAATTTTTTTAAGTTTGTTGGAACAATTCGAGACGAAGAATTTTTTAAAAGTCGTCATTTCAATATGGTGTGCGAAAGTGGGGGATCTTTATCGAAGAAAAAAAGAAAAAGCAGTGATTTGAAAGACCGAGAAATAGAAAGGGCAACAAAGATATTAGAATCTGGAATGATAACTGTTGAAACTTTTCTATCTCGAATGGTCTATGAAAGAAACGGTATATGTGAAAATATGCTTCCAAAAGAAGACATATTCCAGGATACCATTTTGGAAGATTCTTCTTCAGACGATGATGAAATATTTGAAGAAAAACGTGTAGATGATAATAGTTGTATTGTATGCATGTCTAAGGCTTCGAACACAGTCCTTCTTCCTTGTAAACATCTTAAAATGTGCGACGAATGTGTCCTCAAACTTCAAAATAACGCAATTGCTGAAAATGGTGGAGGTTATAAATGCCCATATTGTCGTGGAATTGTAGAAGATACAATGGTAATATTTGTATAAATGCATATACATGTACTTTTTTATTATAAATTGTTTTTTTATTATTAAAAATAAAATAATAACCATATGGTAAAAACTGCAACTTATTTGGGGATTTATTTCATTTTTCGATTCAGGGACTAATTTCATTACGAAATAAGTCCCAATTTTTCGGGATTTATTTCATTTGGTTTTGGGGAGTTCTTTCATTTCAATGGGGAGTTATTTCATATTACTTTTTGGGGATTTATTTCATAATGAAGTAAACCCCCACATTTGGAGACTTATTTCATTTTCTGTTTGGGGACTTATTTCATACCGCCGTAACGGACCACATGACACGCTACATCTGTTCAACTGACCAGCCAAACCCACTCACCTAACCCCATCTTCTCTCTGGACTCAACCAGTACAGGTCGCAGCCTTTCTGAATTTGGAGTTAGAGGCAGAACCAGATTAAAGAAAATTGAAAATACACAGCAGTACTAGCTGCTACAACAACAACAACCAAACAAAGGACAAACACAATTATTTGTATTGCATTTAATATAAAAAATAAAATGAACAATAAAAGAAAAATTTATTTGGTATGTTCCCCGGCAACATTTAAGCTTCCTGCATCAATACATTCCCCTCAATCTGGAACCTACCTAAAAATATATAAGGAATTACTTTTAAATTTAATGAAACTTTGCATTACTTACGAATTTTCTTCCATTTTCTGTAATTTTTATAAAACTTAACTTCAAATTGAACTTTGCAAACTAAAAAATGTTTTGAATAAGTTTTTTGTTTGGTCATAAAATAGCTGATCCAAAAATGCTGAGTTTGCAAAATCTTACTGCATAAAATTCTTTCAGTAAACTCCAGTAAGTTTGTTGTTGTTGAATTGTCAATCTTGCTCTCTCACTTTTACTGGATTTTTGGGTAAACAGACAACATTTAGTAACAATTGTTACCAAATATCGAGTAAACAGACAGAGCTTTTATTAAAATTATATATTTTTCACAAGGATCTTTTTCGTAATTGTAAATAACATATAGGAGAACACTTTAGAATTTAAAATTATTAAAAATATTTATAATTATGATATTTTTATCGATGCCGCCCATAGGAATACAAATTTTTAAGGTGTTTCAATAGTCGGCACATGGGTGAATAATAATCAACTTTTCGATAATATTGGCTCAAAATTAGAAAAAATGTTAAATAAGTTCTCTAAATACCGATTAATATATAAAAAATTAGTTTTGAATGGTTTTACATAATGGAAGACGTGGTTTAATCTTAAATTCTTTTAACCTTTATAATGCTTTATTTAGCCATGCCGAGAATTGGATAAAAGGTTCCCGAGTGGGCATCATGTTTTATAATTGAATATTTTAATAAATAAAATTATTCTATATAATTTTTTTTTAATAGAACACTAAATGAAACATCCGATAAGAATAACTTATTAATGAAAATAGCAGAAAAATAAATAAAATAAATAATTTTTGTTTAACTAAAATACGACATGCCGACTATTGATTTTCATTTAAGAGAAAACCAAAAATACGTATATGCGGAAATAAAAAATAAACATGAAATTCCCATAAAAATTTGAGTTAAAGTCTTATTTTTATTATAAAATTCGTGGTAAAAATTTGTTCGTTTTTGCAAAGGAGTGCGAGTGTGTGCGTGTATATGCAAAGCCAGTGCCCTTAGTGACGTTTTCAATATTGATATGTAAATTGTGTGATTGTGTTTTCATGTAAACCAAATAATAATTCATGGTCCGGTAGCTCTCTTCCTGTTTTGTTCATACTTGCTTATACTAGGTTCGAAGATGGACTTTATAAATACCAAATCACTTTCTGGTTATAGATCTTTCGAAAAAATTCAAATGTACAAAGAGAATATTATTTTGCCATCATCAAAGCATGTAAACGTATGGTTGCACCTTTCGTATATCATAGTTGGATTATACAGTAGATATCGGATATAAGCACATCTCATATAAGAAAAAATCGCCTATATATGAAGGATGATCAAAAACACTGAGCCTTTTTACCTCTCCTCAGTGTAAAAATTGTTTCATATAAGAAAAACGCGAATAAGAAAAACACTGATATTAGAAATGTTTGTCAAACACCAAAGCTGACAAAGGTATTTGAAAACGTTTCATATAAGAACATGTGTAAAATTATTGGCCAAATTATTAACATCGAAAATGTTTTATTTCATCAGCGTGATAACTCCCTAGTCCAAAGAAAAAAATCGTTTTTTTTTTTTAATTCTATTTGAAACAATATTATTTATATGTAGGGAAACAAATGCACCTATTTTTAGTTAAACTGTGAACTGATTTTAATATACTCATATAAGAAAGATTTGTTATATGCGTATGTACGCATATAACAAACAACTTTCTTATACCCTATAATTCCATATACGAAAAGAATACATATAAGAATGAAATCTCCGGCGTTTTTGAGTTTGTCCGATATCTACTGTACTAAAGTAGTACTGTACTACATTAGATATCGGATATACGAAACTCAAAAAAAGCCGGAGATTTCATTCTTCTATGCGTACCTTAAATATCAAGACAGTATGCACTACTGCTTTAAACGCAGTATGGCATAATAATGTCTGTATATTTCGAATTGTTAAAATCTGATTTAATAATATTCCTTATTTCAACGAGAAGATGGCAAGTCTTCTAAAACCATAGGTGGTATTTAACTACTTTCCAATTCTTTCTAATACCGCTTGTTAGAGTGGCAGTGTGAAAAACAGACTTATCTTTATATAAATGCAGCAATTTACTTACCAAATTTCATTGTCATGCAAATTAAAAATATTGTCATTTAATGTTTTTAAACATCGAGAATTTTTATTTAGTACATTTCATCATAATTCAGTTTATAATAATAGACATTGTTGTATGTATATTAATGTATTTATGTATGTACGTATATGATTAAATCATAATATTATTTGGCCGTATGTTTTATTTATTTACGATTTTTATTGGCTTATTCGATTCTAAATATTTCGGGAAATGTACTTCGTATAGTGACCACAGTTCTTATGTTTCGTATTATGATTGTAAATGGTCTATAATTATGTGTATATGTAAGTGAATATGACTCTGGTTTTACGGAATAAAGGCATATTGATCATAGGATTAAAGAGCAAAAAATCATAATATTCTGGGGGATAAAAGATAAAGAAGCCTGCTCCAATGGCGGAAAAAATTAGCATTGTGCAATATTGTTTTGAATATGGCACAACATAATTGTCATCCATTCATGGTGAACTCAAAGTCATGAGTACTAATGTCGATTATCACAGGTTTGGAAGAGGGAGTTACAATGGGCTTATTACGTTGATCTGTCATGTAAATTTTGCATTCGAAACTCCTATGTACAATATGACAATTTTAGTTATATGTTTATATCATAAAAATTGCATTCGTGCAGCAGACTGGCAGCTGAAATTTTTTCTGTATGAAACCCAAGCTTCATGCTATATTTCCTAAATATTTTATCACTGCCAAATAGCAGCAAAAAATATGTTAGGTTTATAAAAGCTTTTTCCGTTCCCTGCAAAGAATGCCAGTATAATGTATAACCACCACATGTGCAACTAAATATTCAATTTCGAATTGTTATTATTCGTGTACGCTATTTCTGAAACATAGTTATATATACAAAATCAATTAATACTATAAGCAAATTAATGATTGTTTTATAAAGACTCATTAACGTAAGAAAATATTGCAATTATCAATTACCAAAATAAACCATTTATTAATATTTAAATTGAAAAATTCGATCTTAAACAGATTGAAAGTAAAGTCACTTATAATTACAAACTTCTTAAAATAATGTTCTATTCAGCTTGGAATAATTTCGCTATTTATAAGAATTATTTTTATAACAAATTTAATTTGTTGAATTTGACTTGATTTCAAAGAATTTACAATACAATTGCGGATGAGAAGATATACACATGCATCTATATAGTATGTATGTACGTAGTATATGTACGCTTGTTTATTCATCTAAGGGTTTTTTGGTTCCTTAAATTAAATATGGTATTCATATGTTGATTCTATAATATATTTTTGTTTAATTCATTCAGTCAAAATCCTGCACGTACTACATACATGCCTTTTTTTAATAAATAATTTCAATTGTACATATCTTATGTTATAGCACCGAGTACAATACTTTATGAGCAGCAAATAGTAATACAAATCATAATTTATGTTATACTAAGATGATTATTTTAATACTTATGTTAATGGTAAGTTATGCACTGTAATACTAACTAGTATGTTTTATAAAAACTGAAATGAACAACAAAGTAGAAACAAATCTACAAAGATCCTTCTCCAGAAATCTGCAAAGATAAAGTATTACATACATGATTATTGAAATGTTAGTTCAGAAGATAAATTATTATATTATGCAACAAGATTTTCGTGGATGAAAAAAAAATAAATACATTCAAAATTATGAACCATTTTGAAATTTGCATTGGAAAGGAAATTTTTTTCTTCCTGAAAATTTGAAATGACAATTTTTACAATAGGTTTGTCTGGATACTTTCCCAGTATTAATTACCCAGTAACGAGTAAATTTTTCCTCAAACATGTCATATCGAACTTGACACGAGTATTACGATACCATCAAATCTACTGAGTATTGCAGTTACCTTGTATAATTGTACCATGCACTGATTAATGCCTACGTTTGTTAAATGTCTTTTTTTCTTTCTTTGGGACATTAAAAATATTTCTTCCTTATAAAGGTATTTTTTGTTGCAATGTTATTGATTAAAAATGAAATACACAATAATTTATGTCGGAAATCTCCAAAATGTGTTGGAAAATTTGCTTCACAAACAATAAAATGCAATGAAGAAAAAAAGTTTAAATGCATAAGATTATCACCTACACCATATTAAATACACCAACTTGCATCGAATGAAATGCCCAGGATAATTACGTCGGCAACATCTACCGTACACCCACAATCCCACGGCGGCGGGCCCTATGCACCGGATTGACTCGGAGGAATTTTTCAAAGAGGCTGCTACCTCAACTACTACATGGTTTTGCCGTCTTTTTTTACATGGGAGAGGCTTCGGTCTCGAGCCTGAGCGGAGGTTTTCCGTACCGCGGGTGTCAGGTGCCCCTGGATCGGTAGATCCAGCCTGACAGTTGGTGTGGCCCCCTGGGGAGCATCGCGGGGGTTGTGATTTCGCCCCTCACCAAGGGGGAGAGTGTGCCTTCTGCATGCTCTCCAATTGGTACAGTACTTCGGTGCTGGAGCGCTGGTGGGCGCTTTTCCGCCTGTGGCTCAGCCACTGTGAGGTAGGCCTTTTGGCAGGAACTCACATAAAACTCTTCAAGATACATGGGAGAGGCATTATAATCCGGGATGCCTGCTATTCTGGTCAGCGCCGGGATCGAATGAAACCCCCGCACCTAGGTTATATTCCATTTGTCGAACAGACCTATCCCGCCTGAGCTAGACTCTAGTGATCCATACATGGAGTGTATGGGGATAGCAGTCAAGTGTGGTACAGCCGATATAGAGGTGCTTAACATGTACATTCCGCCGTTAAATAGTTATAACGTTATTTACCCGACTTTAGTTTACTTTTAAAGGGTAATAACCGTCTGGTGCTGGGGTATTTCAATGCTCATCATGAGCTCTGGGGGGTTACTCTGTATTGCGATGCGTGAGAAAAATTGTAACGCATCGCGTAATTGGTACTCTCTAATTCGTTTTCGTATCTCCTTTCGCATCTACTTTACGCAAATGTGGCATCACCGCAATCTGTAATACGAAAACGCATGTCAAACTCGTTCGTTAAACGCAAATATCTTGCGTTAACAAAATAGCAAACGCAAATGAAGCGAAACATGTAAATAAGCATAATTAAAGTTTTTATTTATATCTAAATTGATAATTATTTTGGGAGAAAGCCAAAAAAAGTTACAGTTGACGACTCAGCACCGTCAGTTCCAAACTTTTGTAGATTTTATGGTGCAGCACAGCGATTTGGCAAGGAGCCAGTTGCAGAGTTTAAATGCGAAACGACGCGCCAAAAAATTGTAGAGAAAACAGGATGATGACCTTAATTCAGATGGACCTCCTGTAAGAGATGTCGCTGGTTGGAAAAAAGTAATGTTTTATATTTTATATATAAAATGTGAAACTATGTGTGCATATTTACAGGTTGGTGTTGATAACCACCTTGTCCAAGCAATTTCAAAGCAGCGGCCACTTTTATTGGAGTTGGAATTGCTGTGGATCCATTTGGAACGACGAGGCCATTTTTAATAGCGTTTATTAAAAACATAAACGCATCTTTATTGAGACGAACATTTTGTACAAATTTATAAAATTTAAATATTTGAAAACGTTTGTCACATTATTCGTACTTCTATTTTCATATCCGTGTTCACTTAGGTTGAGTATATTTGATCGATCTCTTAAAATTCTTATTTTAGTTGGTTCATCATTTTTGTTTTTAAAAAAACACTCGTACCACATAAAAATATGTTTTTATTAACAATTTTTTGACGTTTCCTTTTGTCATTCTTCGTTATTGTTTACTTTGTGGTGCTAGTGTTGCCCTATTTTCGATTTATTTTGCGAATGCGTTTGCGTGAGCGATACCGAGTACCAAATTGCACTCTTAACGCATTTAGCTTTCGCATCGCACTGGCTTTCGCAACGCAATACAGAGTAACCCCCCTGGCATTCCGTCCTAGGTAATGACCATAGGGTACAGCGCTGGCAGATAAAATTAACAGCTTCACGTTTTGCACGGTGAATGAGGATGCGAGAATTAGAGGAGATTGGCGCAGCTCGCTGGACATCACCATTGTGGCACTGGGTCTGGGGGGTTACTCTGTATTGCGATGCGTGAGAAAAATTGTAACGCATCGCGTAATTGGTAATCTCTATTTCGTTTTCGTATCTCCTTTCGCATCTACTTTACGCAAATGTGGCATCACCGCACTCTGTAATACGAAAACGCATGTCAAACTCGTTCGTTAAGCGCAAATATCTTGCGTTAACAAAATAGCAAACGCAAAGGAAGCGAAACATATAAGTAAGCTCAATTAAACGTTTTATTTATATATAAATTCTAAATTATTTTAAGTAAAAGGCAAAAAAGTCACAGTTGCAGACTTAGCAACGTCAGTTCCTAACTTCAGTAGATTTTATGGGGCAACATAGTGATTTGGCAAAGGGACAGTTGCAGAGTTCAAATGCGAAACAACGCGCCAAAAATTTGTGGACAAAACTGTCTGATGACCTCAATTCAAATTAACCTCCTTTAAAAGATGTCGGTGGTTGGAAAAAGTAGAGTATTATTTTTTTTTTTATTTAAAATGTGAAACTATGTGTGCATATTTACAGGTTGGTGTTGATAACCACATTGTCCAAGCAATTTCAAAGCAGCGGCCTCTTTTATTGGAGTTGGAATTGCTGTGGATCTATTTGGAACGACGAGCGTTTAATAAATACATAAACGAATCTTTATTGAGACGAACATTTTGTATAAAAACTATAACAAAATTAAATATCTGAAAACGTTTGTCACATAATTCGTACTTCTATTTTGATCGATCTCATATTTTTGTTTAATTCGTTAATCATTTTTGTTAAAAAAAACACTCGTACCACACAAAAATGTGTTTTCATTTACAATTTTTTGACGTTCCCTTTTGTCATATTTCGTTATTGCTTACATTGTGGCGACAGTGTTACCCTATTTTCGATTTAGTTTGCGAATGCGTTTGCGTGAGCGTTACAGAGTACCGAATTGTACTCTTAACGCATTTAGCTTTCGCATCGCACTTGCTTTCGCAACGCAATACAGAGTAACCCCCCTGATAAATGACATAGTCTAGTATCCCGTCATTTCTCTTGGTTCAGACCACCTCCCTATCATCGTCTTCGTAAATAGACCACCCGTAAAGTTGATTGGCAAGATTTCAGATATTTAGCCAATTACCGCTTCAGGGAGCTGCCCATTCCCTCAGATCCTCGGGTAACTGAGAGGAATTTCCGGGACATCATCACTGCTGCAGCTGCCCGACATATACCTGCTGGTCGTGCTTGCGAATGAGCTTCGACAACGCCTGAAGACGCAAGAGTGAAAGAACTCACCCTTGAAGTCAACGGATTAGTATGCAAGCATAAGCGGAAAAAGTGGCTAGACCACCAGAAGCTTTGCAGCATTGTAGCCGCAACAAGTAAATTGTGGGCAACGCTTAATTCACTCTCGAATCCCGGAATGACGGATGATAGAATGGTTTTCATGTTTAACGACGTAACGGTGAAGAATCCGAAGAGGGAGTTTTTTTTTAACAGAAGTTTGCAGAGCACGCCGAGGGTGACAAGGCGAAAAGGAGTGCGCTTCGTCATATCAGAGCCCCCGAGCCGAGGTACCAGATGTCAGATGTCATTTATCTCAATGATAATGCTGAAACAACTGAATAAACATGGAGTAGATTACTTAACTTCTGTACACAACCTATCGTTAGCCACTCACATTGCTCCTGAAGCCTGCAAAATAGGCAGGGTGGTCCCGCTACAGACGGATTTCCCTTCAGTATCCAGTAGCAAAGACACTTGAGTCACTACTCCTTCCTCTGATGAGAAGTACGCTTCCAGTCCATCAACATCAACATGGATTCCGGAGGATGCACAGTACAACTACAGCATTACACGCCATAACCTCACATATAAACAGACGACTTATCCAGAACAGGCCGTCCGACAGAACAGTCTTAGTGGCTCTTGACTTATCTAAAGCCTTCGATATTGTCAATCACGCCAAGCTGTTCGAGGACATAAAGAAAACAAACTTCCGGCCTAGTTTGAAACATTGGATATTTAATTGCATGTGTCGCCAGTCATATGTAGAGTTCAGAAAAAAGAAGTCTAAACCCCTTAGAGTGAAACAGGGAGTTCCCCAAGGTGGGTTTATATCTCCGGAAGTGTTTAACATCTCCTTTCTGAAATTCCACAACCATCGGACGGCATAGAGATCGCAATGTATGCGAATGATTGTACGATCATGGCGTCGGGTCCCTTTATCGATGATATTCGTAAAAGGTTAAATGTCTATATAGTTGATTTAGTACAGTTCTTCCATCTGATGAATATGAATATATGAATATCCGCTGCTAAATCCACAGCCACTGTATTCACCACATGGACGGCTGAAATGAAGCTCCCTCTCATCATCATGGTCGATGGTGCACCAATTCCGACCACAAACTACCCCAAAATTTTGGATGTAGGTTTCGATAACTTATTTAAGTCGTCCGCGCAGACCACCGCTATTTGCGATATGATGGGAAGGAGGAACAAGGTACTCAAGTCGCGTGCCAGCAGCTCATGGGGTGGTAATAAGGAGACTTTGTTGACCTCCTACAAAGCAATAGGGCGGTCGGCGGTAAGCTATGCGGCGCCAGTGTATTTCTCGAATGTAAGCGATACGCAGTGGAAAAACATTCAAACCTGCCAAAATGTCGCCCTGAGAACGGCGACAGGAACCAACCAACTAGATAAACAGGTTTATCGAGCAGAATTACCAGCATTCATACGGAAGCAGTGACCCAGGCAATGGACCAATACCATGTGAATGCAGTACTTCGAGTCCACTCACCACCTATAGCAGCGGAAGAACGACAGCAGCCTAGACATACGTTTTAGCCCAATTAAGATCAGGATGCTGCAGCCGCCTCAATTCGTATTGGACCCGAATTGACAGCGCGGTACCAAACACACAGATGAGTGGGTTCAGCCCTGCTAAACCTACTCGCAAGGGTCATCAATATTAAACACGATCAAATACAAATGTATAACTCTATCGAATTCTTGTTGTCCGTCTTAAACGTCGAACATCAGATTTCCACAACACTTTATTACTTAATTTAAGGGAGAGTGGTCAACTTACCTGTGAATTGGAACTGTCACTTTCAATTTGCTCTGAATAACAATGTTTGTAATTCAGGTAGTCTAAAAGTCTTCTTGGTAACGGTAATGTTTGAATTAAATCCTTTCTTATTACAGCTTTTAATATAACAAATCTGAAACAAAAAACATATAAATTATTTTTATTTGTTCTTTATATAGTGAATGTACTACTGCTTTCTTGAAATTATTTATTTTAACCGTATGAAATATTTAGGCAAACAGAATATTCTGACCTTACACTTCAAACTATAGGCGTTCATATCATCCCCTATAATAATGGTCAAACAATAGGAGCCACATAAAGTAGACCCACTAAAAAGTGGGTCCAAGGCATCTATTACATGATAGAACAAACTCGTGAAATAAACTTATAAAACCCTAACTATATGTGCGGTACACAGTTCACTTTTCACATTTTAGTCATTATTATCAGCTGACGTTTATTATTGGTGGTATTTTAAACAGTAAATTTATCCAATTCAGAGACTTCGAGTTCATATTTTAAAAATTACACATTTAGCTCATTTGTGACATTTGTATACGTAATTAGCAAACAATAAATTTGTTCGAAAAATCCATCCAATAAGGAAATATATAATGGTAAAATATAAATTACAACAAATTTTATACATATACATGGAAAACTTACCTGCACATGTGCTGCAAACTTTGAACATGCTTAAATCTAGATACTGGATTTGTCAATTGCACTCGCATTGGACCATGTTCGGGTCTTCGATGTAAAAAGAATAAATATCTGTAAAATATGAATACCTCAAATTATAACAAAATAGAAGTAAAAACAAGACAAATGCAATATTACCTGCCGCTACGTGAATGCTCTACTGCCTTCTCAATAAATTCTGTAATTGTTTGCGACTTGAATTTCGCATACGAACCAAATGAAAATGTTCCTTCAAATAACATTACATAAATATTGTTAAAATCATGAAAACAATCAAATACAAAATTAGCCTACCTTGGTCTTGTTCAATGCGAACATGACGGACACAATTGTTTAGTTTAAAACTAAGCGAAAAGATGTAATGGTCGTCGGAACTATCACGGACAATGAAACTTCCATCAGGTTCATTGGATAAAACCTTTTCTGCTGCTTCACTTGACAAAGGGCCCCAATACCACCCATACTGAAAATATAAAACAAATGTATAGCCAGTGCTGAGGTTTTTCTCATAAAATATTTGTTAAGTAAATAAAATATTTTTTTCAAATATCTAATAGAAAAGGCAAGAAATTTATATATGTATATATAAATTATAAAATTAGAAATAAGACAGGGATATGTCTGACTTGCATGCATTATGACTTACATCTTTAACTTTTTCAATACTGGAAGTGAAATGAAACGATCTAGCTTCCGGTTTCTTTTCGTCTTTTCCAATAGCACTTTCTTCATGTTGGATACTGCTTTCCTCTCCCGATTCTAATGTATATATATAAAAACAATTATAGTAAGCAAAATAACAGATATTAGTGTTGTATTCGTTACCTTTCTTAGGCAAGGGTGGAAGAGCTCTCGATTGAAACTTTTTACGCTTGTCTTCATTTGATTTCGATGCACTAACCTTTTCATTGGTTGCTGTGTGATCGTCATGTTCATTGACGTCGCTTTTATGACTATATCTACTACTGTTTTTTCGAAAACGGAAAATGCTACAAAACCGCTGCTTTAAATTCAAGGTAAACTGAGACTTTTTTTCGTTGGAAGATATTACGCTAGACTTGAGAATTGATTGTGTAGTTTCAGTAGTTTGTTCCTTTTCAGTGGATGCGTTGATGTGCGATTGGTGAGAAATATTCTGTTTTTGGTTGTTTTGGTTATTGATTGCAATCACAATGTTATTGTTGTTATTGGCATGGGTCTCGGAATCGGATGAAAAGTTTTTCTGTGTAATGAGACTGTTTTTAACATTCGAACCATGAGATTTTTCAATACGACTTTGCGCCAACGTTAGGTTGCTACCACGAGACCCACTCCAAGCAGGATCGTTGGAAACTTTAGAGGTGGAATTGGAAATATTCGCCTTAGAATGTAATTGGGGTCCGCCGGATGCTGCTCCGCTGTCCGACTTGTTATCTTTGGTTTCTGAGTAGAGCGTATGATAGAATTGTTTCACCTCTTCCAGAGACATGTGTAGGGGCTCTGTATTATTGGCACTGCCATCATCCTGTATACTCGAGGTAGAGACAAAAGTTGAATTATATCTCGAAGACGTGCTAGTTGAAATATGACTCGGAGCCCGATCGCTGTTTTCGCCATTATCGGGGCAATTCGAAGTGGAACGTTTCTTACGCTTATTTTTGTGTTTGCGGTTAGATTTTGATTGATGTTGACATTTCATAAACGCATGTTTACTGCAACTGCTGAATATGTTGACATCTTTGCATTCCGGGCCATTTGCTTCACCAGTGTTGTGGGAACTGTGCCTATGCAGATGTTGCGATCTTTCCTTTTCCGACTTGATCATATCCACCGGTAAAGCATAGATGTCCGAATCAATTGGAACGTTGTAGAAATCGGATATTTCTCTTGTTAGTAAAGCGTCGTGTGACATAGCCTGCGTTATAAATATGGAATCATCTGGCTTATTTGCTGATGAAACACTCAATGAGTTGTGTGAACTAGAAAGTCTGCTATTTAATGAATTTCTAGAGTTGGGTCGATTGCTGCACAGACCTATAGGAAATATTGTTTAATAAGATACATACATATTATATTTAAGATTTGATGATGTAAATATGTTTTAAATAAATGATATCTTGCGAATGTGCGAAGAAAATTACAAATCAGACTATTTTTTCATTTCAAACTCTTCGTGTGAAATTAATTGAAATACGACGTTTAATATATCATTCTTTTAAATTGAATATACTGAATGTTGTTAAACATATCCACAGTGAGGTAATCAACAACATATCTTTCAACCCTTTGAGCCCCGATTTTTTCCTCAATCTTAGAAAAATTTCTGTTCACAGATTTAATGCAGCTATCCTAAATAGAATATGTACAAAATTTGACATCGCTACATCCTTGCAGTCGAGAGATACAGTACGTTCTTTCGGAAAAATAAGAGACTCAAAAATAATTCTGATGGCAGATTTGAATAGGAAGCGATTTAAATAATTTGGACTGTATACACAAATTAGTACTGTTCACAAATTTACCCTCTTCTCTATATTAAAAAGCTCATAACTTTACCAAAATTTTGAAACTTTGAAAATATCATAACAATTCATATAGAGTATGTGATGCAATTGTAGTAAACCCATTTGTTTTTCTATTGCCAAATTTTTGTTTTTTTTTATCCGATTAAATTGAAATTTTACAATTAACATGCTACACGATTTAGATGCAATTTAAAATGTATACAGTCGAATTCAGATAAGCGAACGCCGATTTATCAAAAAAATCTGTTAATTGAAACTAAACATTTTAAACTAATATTTCGGGTGAATTTTCAAACACTTTACTTCGCTTAAAAGAAAAACCGGTTAATCAAAAATCTGTATAAGAGAAACACTTTCTACCGTTTAAGAGAAAAATATCATTTTTGAAAGGGC